AGAGGTAGAAGATCGAGACGAAGTTTTAGAGGGGAAGGAGGCTAGTTCATAAGCTAGTGAAAAATATAGGAGAAAAGTAATTAATGCACCTCCAAAACAACCAATAAAAACTCCTAAAAAACAACAACCAATGGGGAAAATCGAATCAAACAGCAGCCAATTGGGGAACCAAAAGCAAAATAGGAGTAATGGTGGGGAAATCGAAGCATCATACAACAACTAATGGCTGGAAATCGAAGCATCAACAGGTGGGGGAAATCTGAAGCATCAAACGATGGCCTAGAAGGAAGAAACCAAAGCTTTGCCTACATCAATTATATAAAAAGTTACGCAATGAAACTTTTTAAAAACTTAAGAAAAGCACTTTTAAAAGCAAATCTTTCGTTATATACTTCAATTTTTGAATCATAAATAGGTATAAGGTTATCTACCTTGAGCTCGACAATTTTCCTAACCTATTAGAATAATTAAAATTAGATTTTAGACTCCAAATCCCCTCTTTTCCTTCTCTTTCCTCTTTTTCCTCTCCTTTTTTTCCTAACACTAGTTGGGCTAAAGGGCGTTTGGTAGGTTTAAGACTTTAAATATTTTTTATTTTAAAAATCACTCATTCAGCCTAACAACGCGACACTACATCCCACAACGCCACCAGCAAAACTCCTAAATTCTTCCAAACTTCCTAAACTCCATCCTTGGCACCATGATTGTGATTAGATTTTGTCTGCTTTTCGTAGTTTCTTTAGCAATTTATATGTCAAGTTTTGTTTTAGCCTGTATTCGATCGGAGACTCGTGAGGATACGTATAAAATTTTTCTACTTAAAATTAAAATTAAAAATTTTAGGCCAACATAGAAACTCTAACGATCATATTGTTAGATAAAATTCTTAGAATTTTGAAAAATGTTTGAGTTGAACTTTAATTGAATATTAGTTAAATATTTAAATATTTAAGTAAATTATTTAAAATATATATTAAATATTTAAAATAGATTGTTAATTTAAAAATAATTAAATTATATTATCATATTTTTATTAAAATAATATTAAATTTATAATATCTTAAAAATATTTAAATTAAATTAAACATTTAATTAATTATTAAAGGGGTTGAATAATTAAAATTAATCAATATGCCTTAAATAAACTTTAATTTCAAATTAATATATTTATAACGCCTTAGAAGGCGGAGATAAAATCTCCTAACGTGTTCAGACCCATAATTGTAGATTATCTCGTGAATGTCGTAATCTGATTTAGAGGAGAATCAAACCCTAGAGGGTCAAAATGAAGTTCAGTCAAATATCTAATTACGATAATCAAAAGAAGTGATCGTTAATTTCATATTCGAATTTATATTAACACATGATATGCCTCCCTGAAGAAAGAATATATCATAAATTAGCAATTATTCGATTATGATGATGACGATCATTATGAATTTGATTTTTCAAAAGAAATATTAATTGAGTTTTAAAAATTTGATATGAGTTATAAATCTCCTACGAGCGTAAGTCCTCATAGTTATCTAACCTTAAAAAAATTTCTCACTGGCCCTGAAAATTATCAAGCCACTTAATTAATTAACTTAAGATTAAACCTTTAATTATTCCTTAAAATTTCTAAAAATTCTAATAAAGCCAGATTAAATAAAAAATTTATAATTAATATTTTTAACTGACCAAAATTCAACCCTTAATCAAAGAAAAATAAAAGCCATTTGAATGGATCGTAATTTCAAGCTTAATTTAACTTTAATTAAAAAAACCAATATTTAATTAATTTCATTATTTAAAAAATTAAAAATTCCAAAAAAAAAAAAATTCAAACACTTGAGAACACCTCCTTAGATCATTCATGATCTTTAGAGTTGATTTCAAGAAGTTTGAAATTCATTTGGATTCAAATCTAAAAATTCCTTCCTAATCCAGAATCAATGAATGAGAGGTAGGAGGCACTTAGAGATTCTGAAACTGTTTAGAAATGCCCCAACCTAATTTGAGTGTTAGGCTTTAAATTTTGGATCGAGGAAATCATTAATTTGAGTTGAATAATTAGAATTTCAATTTCAAAATTGAATATGTCACTATGAATGATATATCACCTCGGGAGGTAAAAAATATCATTCATAGTGAAGTGTTCGATTTTGAAACTGAAATTGTGAGTTAAATTTTCCAAAGAAAACTAAATTTTTAAAAACCCCTTTTTCAAACTTTCAAACACCAACTCACCATTGCAATGCCACTAGGCCTCCACACTTTTCTTAAAACTTTTTTTTTCTCATTTTCCCGAGACTACAGTGCTGGAGCTCCATAGTGCTCACAGAGAAAAAGTCCAACTTTTGATTTTCACTTTCTCAGCCCACATTTCTTAATTCTTCTATTCTCCATTCAATTGAAGCATACACAACTATTAAATCAATTAAAATTATAATTAGGGGTAGATAATAACCAATATTTTAGACAACGAATATTACATAAAGAGTAACTACTTTGTCAACAGGCAATGAGTGGCGACTCTGTATATTCAACCAACATTTACTGATTACTGATTACTAAAATATACCACACAAGACAAAACTCCTTACTTGTTTAGTATAACTATTGTAATATATGTAATTGCACTGATTTACTATTATTGAACTATTGTTACTATACTTTTTTATCATTATACTAATTATTGTTACTATCATGATTCTATTTTTATTGTCATTGCCATCGATTTTATGGATACTAATAATGTTACTAATGGTACTCATATTGTTGCTAATGTTATTACATATTTATTATTACTGTTACTACGATCAACTCATTATTTACTGATTTATTATTACTGAGCATGTGATTCCTATACTAAACATGTGATATTGAGCATGTGATATAGGGTACTTATTGGATAATGATATAGAATGACTGAATCTCATGATTATACTGATTTGATTGTACTACATTGTTATAAATTCTGACAGTTTTTATAGTTTGGTTTATTCATTTATATGATTTTCTTACTACTACGACATATGATTTGGGAAGGATTATTTACTACTTATTTGCTTTAGCCTCTATATTGATTTACTGATCTATTGATTTACTAGTTTGCTTATTTACTGATTCTATTATTTTTTGTCTTGCACTATTTTAATGGCCTTTCGTACCGTACTATTCTAATATTCTATAGATTTTAGTGTTATTGTATATGTTTACAATTTCGGCACAGATTCATGATTATAGTGATTGAAACTGTTATATATTGACTGGCGACATACATATTGCTTCTTTACAGTACTTTGAGTTCAATTTTGGGAATTAAGGATCTACTCTGCTATTTAGCTTATTATATATGGTATAAATGATTTTAGGTCATGGCAGATAATTGGGAGTGTGAGATTGATTAGTTACAGGACCCTCTAGGTTATTTTATTTAGTTATTATTTTGTAGTTATGAGCAAATATACTGTATGTAATGATTGTGTAACTCCCGACTATGATATATTTTTTTGGAGTATAAATACAGATGAATATTAAATGTTTTGATAAATAAAATATTTTTTGTTGCTATTTTATATTATTGATAAAAGAAATTAGATAGTTCTATTGGTTGTTATAATTAAAAGATAAAAGAAAAAAATTCGTTAATGACAAATTTATAACATCACTAAACTTTAATGACAATTGTCGCTAGCTAGATACGAAGGCAGAAATGTTGCCTTAGAACTTTGGCTTCAAACTACTACAGAGAGAAATTCATCGGATAAATAAAAGACACATAAAATGAATGGTCAAGTAACTTCTTATTCAAAAACTTGGTTAAATAATACTCAAGGGACTTTGAATTGTAAGGGTATTTTGATCTAAATGAAATTTTATGACTTGTTTTTTTCCAAAAAAAAAATAAAACATCATATATATTTCTCCAATTTTAAGCCATATGGAGCATATAGTTAACTTATCTAAAATGAAATCACATTTGTGTGATGTGATTTTATTACTCGTGAGCTGAGACAGACTCGACTTGATAACAGGATCGACGAGTTGAGCTTATCGAGCTCGTGAGTCAAGCTCGAAGGCTTATGAGCTCAAGCTAGAACAAGCGTTGGGCTCGACGAGCCGCTCGACTGGGCGGGATTCACGGGAATGAGCTCGGGACAACTACAGATGGATGTGCTCGGGACACAAACGGATGTGTTCGGTCCGACGGATCTCGACGGTGGCGGCGCAGATCTCAACAACGAGCTCGGGACGACGACAATTGTTGCATCAGCCAAAACATTTCGACAGAGCGGATCTCGACGACGGAGCTCAGAACGGACACGCGACTATGGCGGAGCTTAGAACAAACACGACGATGACATACTGTTCTCAACCACAACGGACCTCAGGACGACAAATAACACAACCCAAATGGACCTCGGGACGACAAATCATGACATTTTGGGCTTGAGCTCGACGAGCCGCTCGACATGAGATAAGTCGAGCTCGAGCTCGGTATCTTACAGTAGAGCTCGACTCGAACAACCTCTGGCTCAAGCTCAGCTCGACTCGTTTGTAACCCTATGGTGTATACATTCATGATATGATTTAATTATTAGAGTATATATAAGTACTATCAAAATCTAAATTATAAAAAATAATAATTTTATTACAATTAACCATAAGATTTTATAACTTTTTGATTTATAAATAATTCAAGACAAAAAGCATTTTATTATGAAATATGTAAGAAATTGATAAAATATTTAAATATTCATATTTAATCAATAAAATAAATATCATAAAAATTTTAATATTTTAATTTCTTAGGAACTGAAGAACAAGTTAAAATGTTAAATATTTTTAATCTTATATATATACCGACGGCTAATCTTTGGTAGCAAGAAAGGCCCGGCCCTGCTCGTGGTCTTTTATTTGTCCGAACCGTCTCCTATTCTTTTCTCTTTTCAAACTCTTGACTTCGATCGATCGTGGTGAGAAGGTACGTTATTATCTTCGTTTTCCTTTCTTCTTATTTGGCTCGGTTGTAGATGCGTGTTTTCTGTAGTTGACCTAGAAATTGCACATCTTTTTGGGTTTTCATGTTGGAATGCTTTGCTCAAGATCTATTTAATCTGTCTGAGTTTTTGTGTTGTTGGAGGCCTAATTGATTTGTATTTTTATCGATTGTTGCCAACGATTGGGTTCTATCAAACTCGCTCCACGGTTCTGATTTTTTCGGAGGGCGGGGGATCGTGAATATTTCTGGTGGGTATGCAATTTGACCTAGGGTTTGGGGAAAGAATTTGAGGGAGTCGTGTTTTGTCTTTACTAGGGAGATGGATGACTGGAGTTTTCAGATCTGTTTAATTGGGGTAATTTTGTCGATAAGGGGATAATTGTGGGGGATTAGCGTATTTGGATTACAATTGTATGGGGGTTTTATTGATCTGGTTGCAAATTGAAGATATTGATTTTATGAATTGTGTGCGCTCGAGGGATTCTAGGGGTTTTAATTTGTTTTTATGTTTTTTGGCTGATTTTTATCTCTTTTTTTTTAGAGGGATTTTCTGTTTGTGGATAATTGCTTTATGGGCTTAAGCCTTGGAGTTATGCTATGTAAATGGTTGTTTTGCAGAGGTGTACAAGTTGCATGTTGGATGGATGATGACTGTTCCAATGGATAGCCCATCTGCTCCCACTTCACAGGAGCTTGCACAACGCCTCTTCAAGAAGGTTTTTTCTTTCTTTCTTTTGTTTTTCATCTGAATGGGTAAATTCTACCTTGTGATTGATAGAGAAAATTTCTAGGTGTCAAGATTGAATCCGCAATATATGTTTTTTTTGTTGTTGTTGTTGTGTTGAATATTCATATTTGTTCATAATTTTAGGGATTATTGTTCCTTTGAAATATTTCCCTAAATTGCTTTTAAACTTTCATTGTATTTTATTTATGGTAATAGCTTGTGACGCCACATTTGTTGCTTATGTAAATAAGCTCATGTTTGTTTAAAGTGATCTATATCTTATAGTTCCTTTTGTTTGGAAAATTTAGATTAGCAGCATGTATCAGAAGTCTGTAGTTTATAATTTCATAGCAAAGAACCTTGATTGTTTGGTTTGTGTTGATGTAGTAAATGTTCTCTTTATAGAAGTCCATATTTGAACATTTTACATTGGTTAAGATTGCTTGATATGCTCATATTCTCAATGGGGTTCTTGGTAATTTGGTCATACTTTGTGAGCAGCTATGTTTCATTTGGAACCCTAAACAACTTTACTAAGATTCAGCGGTGGACCGTTGGTAGAATTTTTCTTAGTATATGGTTTTGTATTTTTAGTTGTACTTAAGTATACTCTTTTTTTTTCAGTCAAAAGCTAAGATTTTTCTTTGACTTCAATTTGTTTTGATCCTTTTCATCTGCAGGAGATCTACAATAGAATGGCTCTAATTGTTATTAACTTTTGATTTTCCTTGATTATTTGATCAAACCATGTAGCATGCTATGATTTGTTCAACTAGCCAGTATTTTTTTGAATCCTTATCATCATCATCATCATGAGTCTTATCCCAACTATTAGGTCCTACTTTCATCTCAGTCAATTAGCTAATTAATAGTTTCATTTTTTGTGGCTATTGCCATATTGAACTATTATCATAGAGCTTTATTTAAGCAGTTTGCTTCGGTTGTATTAACATATGCATGTAGCCATTGATAGGATGTATCATCTACGAGATTGACAGTCTGTATAGCCAGCTCTCTTTAGGACTTGCAACAAACACCAAAACCTCTCTAAAATCAGTCTCCTTACATCAAATGCGTTCATATGGTAATGTCTGGTCAATAGTTTAGCCTATTATCAAACAGTTGTTTTGCATTCTATATTTAGATTATCTAATATGAAGGCAAGTTGCACATAGAAATTCTAAAATTTTTTAGTTATGTGATTTCCATATTCTTATCTATTCCTCATGGGATTTTGTGCATTATTAGAAGGCCTCCTTATTTATGGTTACCTTGGGAGATGCTGTGGTATCGGAATTCATATTTCTTCATACTTTTCTCTGTGTTAGTTTAAATTGTCTAAGTTTTGTTTGCTTGTATCATGCATTATGCCTACCAATGTGGTTACATTGAATGAATGTTTTTTTTATCCAGAATATTGAATTAGAAAATGGCTTGCGGAAGTCAGCACAAGCAAAAATTCCATCAGATCCAAATGTGTGGCTCCAAATGCGTGAAAATTATGAAGCCATTATCCTTGAAGATCATGAATTTTCAGAGAAACATGAGGTAGAGTTTATGCTCTGGCAGTTGCACTACAGGAGAATTGAGGAGTTCAGATTGCACATCAATGCTGCCAAGTCGACAGGATTAACTGGAACCCAAGTTGGTCGAGGATCAGCAAGACCGGATCGGATTAAGAAAATCCGATCTGCTTTTAAAAGTTTTCTTTCTGAGTCAACTGGATTTTACCATGACCTGATACTCAAGATTCGGGCAAAATATGGTCTACCTTTGGGATACTTTTCTGAGGGCACTGAGAGCCAAATTATTCTTTCAAAAGATGAAAAAAAATCAGGTGAGATGAAGAAAGGTTTATTATCTTGTCATCGCTGTCTAATTTATCTTGGGGACCTTGCTCGATACAAAGGCCTGTATGGGGAGGGCGACTCTGTCATTCGTGAATATACTGCTGCTTCTAGTTATTATATGCAGGCAGCTTCCCTTTACCCTTCAAGTGGCAATCCGCATCATCAGGTTAGGTTTGTAATATATGTATGGTTTATCGTTGCAATTGTATTATTGATAATGTATCTGTTGCTTTAATATACACTGTTTGGGAATTTTATCTTCTTCAGTTGGCTATTTTGGCTTCATATTCAAATGATGACTTGGTTACCACATACCGGTATTTTCGAAGTTTGGCTGTGGATAATCCTTTCTCAACAGCACGGGACAATTTAATTATTGCGTTCGAGAAGGTATTTTTTTTTCATAATTTAATAGTTCCAATATACTTTTAGATCATATTAAGCTATTTTCTTCATTATATTTTTTTTCTCATTTCTTTAATTCCTTTTGCATCATTAAATGCTTGATACTTTTTGGTAACATTGTTGATACTCCAGTTTTTGCATTATGTAGAATAACTTATTTAGGTTGGTTTAAAGATAGGCCTTAATGCTTTCAATCAATAGATCTTTCTATCATATAGCACATGCTCATAATGTCTTATGGTAATGAGTGATGTGCCTTCATTTTATGTACCATCAGTTTCAATTGAACATCATCATCCTCGAATTGTTTGGAGCTTGTTTTGTGAATTTGTATTTTTCATTCATTGTTCTTGAGTGTTGCTTGATATATTAAGCCTACAACAAAAACAATAGTAAGCCTTTTTCCCAATATGTAGGGTATCTCCATTGTCTTCTATTAAGAATCAATTTCTCATTACATCTAATAAAAATGAATTTTTATACTTTCTAACTAAGTCTTTTTAGGTGCTTAATATATTAATCCTATTTTTCTCAAATCATTTTGATCAACTTATATGCATATAATGTTTAGTCTACCCTTAATCCTTTGAAATTAATTTTATCTGCCTATCTTATATGTGAATTTTTTGCACTGCATTGTACATGCCCAAACTATTTATGTATATCTCAGTTACCTTGTCATTAATAATATCACTACTATCATTACTCTAATATAATAATTCATTAATTTATACATCCTAATTTCATCATGCTTCCATCTTAGTATTCTCATTTTTATTGCTCTTAGCTCAGGTATTATTGACTTTCTTATTGCTCAAAAGTCAGATCCGTGTGTCTCTAACTATTGTATTATTTTATAAAATTTATCATCAAGTCTATATGATATCATCTAGATACTTCTTCATTTTAATCATTGTCTTAGTGTAATAACATTGTAATCATTAGAGTTTTTGTTTCATTTATCCATGGGTCATTATCATATATATATATATATATATATATATATATATCCATTCTTCTATATGGCTGTTCCACGATACCTAAACCTATCACATCTATATATATCACTTTATTTTTTTTAGAAATATTAATTGATAATTATTAATTACACATCATAAAAATTGAGTATAAAATACTAAGTTTTTGTTATGTTAATTCTAAGTCTTTTAAAAAAAATCTTCATTATTCTAATTTTTCTCTTATCGTAATGGATCTCTACCAAATTAAAACTATATCATCTATCAAAAACATCTACCAATGCATATTAATCTGAGTATATTTTGTTGGTATCTCCATAACTAATATAAAAGTTGAGTTTGCGTTGATTATTGGTGTAATCTTTTGTAATTAAAAACTATTTTATCACTTATCAGCTATTAATATTGGTCAGTATTCCATCATACATATCTTAACAACATCATGATACATTTGATGCGCATTTCTTCCTCAATGCGCACCAAATCAAATCTTGTGGTGCGCAATGCCTTCTCAACATCAATTAAAGTTATAGGAGATCCTTTGATTTCTATACTTTCTCATTATTTATTTTAACACAAATTTGCTTTCATAGTAGATATTTTTTGCATGAAAATAAATTGGCTATATACTATATTTTTTCATCATTGCATGGATGTATAACATACAGACTGTATGAATGGGGATAAACTTGTTTTTGTATATGCAGGCTATAACCACCAGTGTTTTGAAATGCGTAGCTTCTACATGCAGTTTCTCTGCAAATTAAATGTCTTGGACTGATGTCTGAGCTCAATTAATGAACTATTATGACTATGGGATTAGGAATTATATGCGTCTGTTTATTTAATGTATAATTTGGAAATTATCCATATATTTCTTTTTCAAATTAAATAGCATATTATGGTTCTATTGAAGACTAGAGGCTTACTTCCATTTTTAAATGTGCCCTCAAATGATAACCACTGGTGGCCTGCATTTTCCTGTTTCATTCATCCTTTGTTGATAAGGGTATTTGTCCAACCAACCTAATACAATTACTGTTTTTGTTTCAAATGTTTGTTATATATTTTTCATAAGTATGGTTTTGGTGGCATTCCGTTTTGTCAATTTCATAAACTGTCAATGTAGTATAGGGAATGACATTTCTTTATAAATCAAGGAGACAAACAGGTTGGTCCCTAAACCATGCATGTATGGGAGAAAGAGAACTTCAATATTGATTGCTTTCTTCTCATCTTTAATTGTCCTTTGGAGATGTAACTTACAGAGAGTCAACTCCTATTTAGATATTGTTCACTACCTTCTTTTCCGTGGTTTTTTGCTTCACATTTTTTGCAGTTGATTTCTGGTTATTTATTAGTTGTTTTTGTGTGCATCTCTTGGATCGCTGACATTTTTATCTTAAAACGTTTCTTTCGAAAGCTTATGTATCTCCTTTGATTCAAAAGATTTGTAACTTCATATGGAGAATTATTGTGAAGCTTGTGACATTCTAGATAAACTGTCTTATTCATTGATTAGAAAAGGAAAAAAATAATCAAAATGGTTTTTTGACTTTTTATGAAGGATCATTTTGATCCTTCAACTCCTTAAAGAGGAATCAAAATAGTGTCATTATGTTATTATTTTGATTTATTTTTAAAGACTTGATGTATCAAAATGGTCCTTCAATATAGTTGGGGATCATTTTGGTCCTTCATAGAGTCAAGGGACAATTTTGATTATTTTCCCATTAGAAAATTTTATTCTACTATTCAGAGTTAATATGTTTATTTAACTACATTTTTTGTTACTCTGTTATTTTTGTTTCTGTCTCGTCTTGTACGATGTCCCATAGTTATTCTCTTCTATACTATATATTTTCATCCGACCATAACTAGCAATATTTGTGATTGATGTTGGAATTCCAGTTACAATTGTTCATGTGCATTTCTCCTTCTAGCTAAGATGTAGAAGTTTTATTTTGAACCCGAAATATATCTAAAAGAAGTTGATTCCTTATTTAATTTGTGAAGGTGTTTATCTTAAGCATTGGAGAAAAATGTTTCCATATCATGATGATTTTTTTCTCCCAAGTATTCCACTTTTAGATTTAATTATGATTATTGTTATGACAAGCTCTTGTTGTTTGCATGCGGCTTTAACTAGTGTTAGTGACACTGATAATTGCTTAAAATATTTTACCGATACAAGTATACTACTAAGATTGTCACGACCCAACCCATCATAACACATTTTATAACAAGTTATACTGGGTTAGGTACGAGACAAAGATTTTACCTAAGATCTATTTGGAGGGAAGTTCTTTTTATCATCCAATGTGGCATTTTAAAGTCTCTAAATCATCAACATAGAACAAAATGGAGACCATCACACAAACACACACAAACACACACATATATATCCATAGTTAGAAAATAATTCATTTATGAAAGCAAGTAGTAGTACTCCTAACAACAACACTCGACCTTATTCTACTGGAGTCTTACCCTTTCTTGAAATATATGAATAATGAAAAATGAGCAAGTGGCTCAATAGGTTTCACAAAACCTACAACTGCATCCAGTGCTCGAAAATAAAATAATATGCATGCTATACTCATTTGATCATGAAAATTAAATATGTGCAGATTAAGTTAATATTTATGTTGTTCATGTACATGAATCATACCCAATGCAATCATGACCAATAACTTCTTTTTAGAATCATATGTCCAATAGAACGTCGTATTATATCAGAATTGAGTAATTGACCCCAACCCAAATGATCTGTATCATACACAAGGTTTAAAATTGCGTAATTAAGCCTCGAGGCGGTTTTCGTCCGTGAGGCGAGGCGTAAGCCTCGAGGCGGTCTGAAACGTAAGCCTCACGGACACAAAATTGCGTAAATAAAAAATTAAGGGTTTTAGCAGGAAAATAATAGCAATAGTCTATCTTACAATAAAAACATCTAAATGATATATGAAAATAGTGTAAAGTAAGAAAGTAGATGCAATAAAATCATGTCCCAAAGTACAAAATCACAAAATATTAGTTTAACAAAACTCCCAAAGTACAAAGAACAAATAAAATGCAATCATATCCCATCACTAAATGGGCTTCAAGGGAATCTTCTTCTCCAATTGTATCTATGAATGTCATATGATCATCATTTTCAATATGACTCACTTTTTTCTTCCCTGTTCAATAAGAGAAAAGATCATTATCATGTTAATTCCTCACTTGACATAAATATAATGCAATAGCATGTAAGAAGTTGTTGAATACCTTACTTGATTGTTGTGCTGCAGAGCTAGTGGATGTGTGTGGTGTGGTACTAGTGGATGTGCCCACTTGATCTGCTTCGCCCCTCAAGACATCCACACTTAGATCTTCTAGCTGTAAGTCTGATAATGACAAATCTGGCGTCGACCCTCTCTAGTATCGGCCGCAAGCATCATTTGTGCTTGTCCTCTATCCTCTTCTGGATTAGTCATATACTGATCCATAGGACCCCGTGCACCTCTGTTATCTATAGTGGAGGAAGAGCCCTTTCCACTCTCGCTCCCAAAATAAGCGCCATGTTCGACCCTATCATCAAATTGCTCCTGTTGCAAGTGTTTTGTTGTGGTACTTTTCTTCATATAAGCAATAATTTCCTCCTTCATCTTTTCCGGCACATTTGCACACGGTGCTACGTTTTTATGCGAGCATGATAAGTGTTCCTTCATGCGGGTAACACCTCCCTCACCACTTTTTCGCAAAAATTGCATTTCAAATAAACATAGCTCTTCTCTCCGCTGCCTATGTCAACTTGTACACTATATTTCCAAGAAGGGTCCCTCCGCAATGACGCAGACCCCTTTTCCTTGCCTCTAACCATGATCCCTAATGAAAGAATCCAAAATCACACAATAATTCAAAAAAATCCAAAACCCTAGAATTTCTTTCACTTGAAAAATCTAACCAAAAACTAAAAAAAATACCTGAAATCGTTTGTGGACTTCTCCTACAAAGCGGCTGGACGCTTCAAGTTCACCAGAGAGAGGCGGCGCCGGCGGGAGAGGTGGCGGGAAGGTTGGCCGACCGTGCGGGAGGCTCTGGTTTCGCGACCTGGAGCTTGCGGGCAGGTAAAATTCGCGAAATGCCTGTAGCCGATCAGGTATAAGGGAAAAAAATGCTCATTTTAAGTAGGTGGGACCATTTGTATGAGGCGTACACCTCACCCATAATTGTGCAATTGAGGCGTGCCTCACACAAGGTGAGGCGTACGCCTCAAGCAGTGTCCAAATTGCGTGCGCCTCGAGGCGCTTTTGGACAGAATTGCGCAGAGGCGCGCCTCTTGTTGCGCAATTTTAAATAGAGATCATACATAGAAGTTTATTATAATATATATTAAGCAAGTGAGATGATATGAGGTATCAATTCATATCAAATGATTTTGAATAATTTGTCATTATTTATAGCAGCATTACATCATATATATGTTTGGCAAGAAATGGATTATGATTAATCATATCACTTCATGCATGTCATATCATATGTTGTTTTTCATGTATAATATCATATCTTATCATATAAGTAAAATTATCACGTGCAACAATCCATCTATGTTGCACAGACACGGACACGGCAACACGGATACGACACTATACAGACACGGGATACGTCAATTATTGAAAATATTGGACACGGACACATGTAGGACACTTATAAAAATAGTGTATAAAAATTTAACAAGTACAAAGTCATTTAACTAGAATTTGTGCTTAAAATATTAGGATGTTGAGAGTTGGACGTCGCTATCGTGTATCAGGCATCGAGAGAAGATACGACAATGTTGTTGAGAGTCGAACATCGATGTTTTGCATTAAATATCGGGTGTCGATGTCAAGAGGGTGTATGTTGTTGATATTGAGAGGGCATTGGTCGTCGATGTTAAGAAGACATCGGACAAAGATGTGCATGCGCTATCAAGTTATGGGTGTAGAAATTGTTAGCGTCGAGCATTAATGTCAAGACAGTGTCAGACTTTGATATTGAGATGGTTTTGAAATGTTTTTGTAACTACACCAGACACGCATGTCGGACACATGTGTTCAATTTGTATTTAATATTTTTTTAATTGAACACATTTTCAGTGTGTCCTACACGTGTCAAAAGAGTGTCGAATGCGCATCATGTCGGATACATTTTAGACACTGCACACATCTTTAAAGAGAAGTGTCGATGCATTATGACTTGTATATTTATAACAATCAATTCATGTCATCATAATAGTACATCATAACATATGTTTATATAGCAAATTAGAGGATCTGGCTAATCATATCATATCATGTGATATTTTCCTGTACCAATCATAAAAGTCAGTTAAAGTATCATAACACATCATATTAGTAAGAACAATCATAGTTAGGTGGCATCATATACGGGAGTTGTTACCCCCAACCTGTCAACGCTCATAATCATATCACATTTCTTTATAGCTTCCATCATATATCGGTTTTACACAGTTAATACTATGTTTAAAGGAAAGTTCATTGCTCCACCCTCCTTCACAAGGTATCATATCTTCGTTAACTTGAATCATATCAGCCAGTCTTCCTTTCATATATATATATATATATCATAGTAAATATTTGATAATATGCTCAAAATTCTAATCATTGTATCATTTTCTAATGCAAATAAAATAATATGTAAATAATCGATAGTGAGTTGCACATATACATTCTCAACAAGTGAACCATAATAGATATGCATGTTGTAGCAAATGAACCGTATCAGCTATGCATGTCATTCTTTCTATCTAGAACTGATGCTTCAACCATTTATCAATTTCTTAATTTATTTATCTTAGGAAATATGCCTCAAAATATAAAAATACTCTGTGAAAGTTCAATATGATCTTGTCAACATGTGCAAAATGATTTGAACTGCGACATGCTAATAGTTTCATGATGAAATTTGCTAGAAATCATAATATTGCAATTTTTTATAAGTTTTGATCAAATTAAAATTTAGGAAATATAGAATAAGTAAAATCATATAAATTGGAGATAGAGTAATGGTAGCCTACCTTGGGACGAACAAAATTTTCAACTAGCGTAATAGACGAAATCAGCTCAATGACCTCCAAAACCAACTTTCTCCTCTCTTCCCTCTCACCTTTTCTCCTCTTCTCCACCTTTCCAAATGAAATGAGTGGGTTTTTTTTATGGTTTTTGGAAGTTGTGTGTATGTATATATATAAGCGCTATTATTTATAGCGCCGCAATGCTCTGAAAGGGAAGATTCCTCATATCAAAATAGAGAATTTGACGTCGTCGCGCTCCATCCGGTGCTACAACGTTACCTCTGACACTCAATACCACAGAGCTCACTTTACATCTCTGCAAAGCCTCCCAAACGAAAAAGACAGCATTGCAATGCCCTAAAGGAACAAAATTCAGGAAGGCATGAAAATTTTAGTAATCATTAAATAAACATAAATTTCCTACTAGGCTCAGATCAGGTTGCTACAATCAGTCTAATTAATCTAGAAACGGTCATTACAAAAATCTCCCAAACCTTAACATATGTTATACTATGACCAAGTCATGAAACAAAGAAAACAAGGCTGGGATGAGATAAATACAATTGAATTGAATTTTTTCTTACTTCACAGTTCCTGTCCACACAAAATGAAAAGAAAACAGAGTTCCTAAGCTTTTCAGAGCCTATATGTGTGATTATGCTTCTTAACGCATCCCCCTAATTCTTGCGATGATGACCAACCCGGGTTTACGAAGGGCAGTCTTAAATTCTATGTGCCAGATAACACACCAACAATGGCTGGAATGTTCCAGCCTGCCAGCAATTTAATGTAGAACAAAACTAGGTAGCTACATTTATGAAAACGGGAATCTCAACTTAACTATTAATTAAATAACAGAGAATCTGATGTGGAAGCACTTCTTGATTCCAGAAAATGGTGAAATTCTTCCAATGGCAGTGCTCTGCAATGCTGGCTGGAAATTTGGCAGCCTACAGCAACAACAACAATAAAATCAAGTTTTTATCCCACTACGTTGGGTCGACTTTTTTATCCCACTACGTTGGGTCGACTACGGGAATCCGTTTTCTCAATTGTGTCCTATTAAGGCTGGAAATTTGGCCGTCTACAAGATTAAAACAGAACTAATGCATTAGAATTTCTCCTAGCGGTAAGCAAGAAATGAAATGGGAAAGTTCGGACAACAGAGAACCTGAAACAAATATTCTGGATTTCAAGTAGACAGTGTAACCATGTTGTAATCCAGGAATTGTTGGAATATAACCTGCTGTCCTTGTTTTTATATGTACCGTAAGCCTCCAACCCTTCTAAGAAATGTATTTCCTATACCCAAGAAATATGACTTGCTGCCTATTAGAATATAATCACGTGTCCCTACTGTTCTTCTTTCAATTCTTATTGGACCCTCCTTGGCAAGTGATTGCTGCCACCAACTGTGGACAGCTGTTGGAGATGGTTTTAGGAACTTTTTTGTTGATGGTGGTGGAGTCACGGACTGTGCTATGAGCATCTCACACTCTCCGCCTCTCCCAAAACAGGGAATCCTTTCCAATAATACTCTGGACAAAACCTGAGAAAAAACTCCCAAAATCTGAAATCTCACTAAACTCTGAAGGGAAGAATATAAATAGGCTAGCTTCTCCGCTTAACCTCTATACCCTGTTAATTACTAAACAACCCTTTTGAAGGAAAGAAAAGAAAAAAATAAGCCTTCTAAAATTAATTAATTTTGAACATAACCTCCTCCAAACTAGGTCAGTTATTCAATTGTGTTTGTAACTGGCAAGCCACCTATTTGACACTAATGAAATTTTCTATGATTAGTTTGTTGCATGATTGGTTGTGCCAAGTTTTTTAGTTTGTACTCTTGTTGTTTTTGCGGGATACATAAATCTTAGAAGGTATTTTCATCCTTAGAGCATATTCTATGGTTGGATTGAAGTCCAAAATTGTCCCGCCACTATTCGTATTTGGCTAATTTAGCCATAAAGTATCACATTTCTTCAATTTAATCCCTCGATTATATAAAAGGAGTCCCGAATGGTACCTCAGGGTTTATATTGGGATATCTTTTTTATATAATCAGGGGAGTAAATTGAGATCAATTTGTATCCCAATTTCCATCAATTTCTACTTGAGGGATCATTTCAAATTAATTTTGTATAGTTGAAGAAATAAAATGGAGAATTTTGATGTTCTAGGACTAAATTGACCCCATGTACATAGTTGGGGGACTATTTTGGACTTTTTTTCTTTTATTATTATTATTTTTGTTTGTATTGTTTTTTTCATGAATGTCATTTAAGTGTCCATTTATCCTGATCCTTGTGTAATAAAATGACAGAATCGCCAAAAAGTAGCACAACTTCCTAGTGCTAAAACTGCTGCATCAAATGTGTTTCCTCCACGATCAACTGGTAGAGGTAGAGGCCGTGGTGATGCTAGGCTTCTTGCAAAAGACAGAAATATGGAATCTCCTATCAAAGAGCAGGAACTTAGCACGGCAGATATTTTTAGCGCCTTCTCCACTCGTTTTGTTAGACTCCATGGAATTCTATTTACACGGACTAGGTATAATACATTACATTCAATTCTTTTATTTCCAACTAGGTGCTGTTTGATTCAAACTCCTGTGTGCATGTGATTTAACAGCTTGGAAACTTTTGGAGACGTATTTTCATCAGTGATAAGTGATTTGCATGAACTTTTAGCTGCTGGTCTTGAGGAAGCATTTAATTTTGGTATTGATGCCGTTGAAAATGGTCTGTTTATTGTGAGGCTTGTGTCTATACTTATATTCACGGTGCATAATGTGAATAGAGATGCTGGAGGCCAGTCATATGCTGAGATCTTGCAGCGGTCAGTGCTGTTTCAAAATGCTTTTACAGCTTCATTTGAGTTTGTTGGACATATCCTGAAAAGATGCATTGAACTAAGTGATATTGCTTCAAGCTTTCTCTTACCTGGTATTATGGTTTTCATTGAGTGGCTAGCGTGCCACCCAGATATTGCAGCAGGATTTGATGTTAAAGAAAAACAAGCCACTGCTAGAACATTTTTCTGGGATCAGTGTGTAGCCTTAATGAATGCACTTTTGTCTAGTGGCCATGGTTACGTAGATTCATACGAGGATGAAACATGTTTTTCTGATATGAGCCGCTATGAGGAAGGAGAAATTGGTAACAGGCTTGCGTTGTGGGAGGATTTTGAGTTGAGAGGATTTCTTCCTCTAGTGCAAGCACATCTCATTTTGGACTTTTCAAGAAAGCCTTCTATTGGCGGTGATGGAACTAACAGGGAAAGAAGGGCTCGGGTGCAAAGGATATTTGCTGCTGGAAAGGCTCTGATGAATGTGGTTAGAATTGATCAGCAGGGATTTTATTTTGATCGGCTTCTCCGGAAGTTTGTCTTTGGCATTGAGCCTCCTGCATTTGTTGGTGATATGCATGCTGGTTTTGCAGATGCTCATGAGCAAAATGTTTTAAACCATGCTAGTTCAGTTGAAAGCATAAGCAATTTAGGAGGGTCACAATCAAGCGTGACTGATTTTGGATTAGCTCCAGTAAAAGCACTTGTACATGTAGATGGAGAAGAAGATGAAGAAGAAATTGTTTTCAGGCCAGCTGCAAACGAGAAATTTCCCAACATTGTTGTTTCAACGCCTGCTTATGAAACTGTTCAGCCTGTGCATGTCGCCTCCTTTCCTTCCGCTGACACTAGGTTGTCAAATGGTATTGGTATGCCACACTCCTTTTCTTTCGCGGACACTCAGTTGTCAAATGAGCTGAATGCCAGCAGCCAACAGAGAACTTCCATGCCCATCACTTCTTCCCAGCCTTTGTTGAACTTGGATATCAATACATCAAAATGGCTTATGGAGAAAGAGGCCATGTTATCCGATAGATTCAAGAATATGAACATTGGGAATGGTTTGATGTTTCAGGGAGGCTTGAGCACTTTTAATCCTACTACATTTCCCCCCCCTGCTATTCTCGGCACCTGTGGTTTGTTGTCTAATCAAGTGAATGTTTCAGATACCATTATACCATCTCCTCTTGATTCTATAGTTCCACCTGGTGGAATTATTACTGGCTTACCTGTGAGGACCCCAGCAGCCTTGCCAACTGTGCCTAAGAAAAATCCTGTGAGTCGTCCAGTTAGGCATTTTGGTCCTCCTCCAGGATTTAGCCCTGCTTCCTCTAAGCTTGAGGCTGGGTCCATACATAATTTGGCTACAAAGGATCAGCAGCTCCTTATTGATGACTATAGTTGGCTAGATGACTATCAGCCATCATCAACTAAAGCATTGATGGAGACCTCTGTTAGCCATGCTTCAGTCATGCATCCTCATCTTTCTGCTGACAATAGTAATACATTCGTTGGTGTCACAAACTTTCCATTTCCTGGAAGACAAACACCACTGATGCAGAATGATGTAACTAATGAGAAGCGCTGGCAGGATTTCCAGCTTTTTGAACATCTGAAGCCATTTGCTGAACAGAACCTCCCTCATACAAACTTGCGACCTGCTAAGCTGCCAGAGCAGTATCAAACACAATCCATGTGGTCTGGAAATTACTTCGTGTGAGATCATTCGTTTGATGGTGACAACAGGTAATGTTTTTCTTTGATTTACTTAATTCTCGTCTGAATAACTAGGCATTTCTGATCCTTATTAGTTCTGTTGTTTTAAGAGGCTTGTGCAGCAGCAACAAACCTGCAAGTGGGTGACTAAAGCCATGGGCCTTTTCTCCGATGCTGTCATTTTAATGTTGTTAAAGGTTCTGTTGGATCATGAATGATCTTTGGAGCGTAGCTGGTGCTTGCCCTGTAGCTGGTATGATTTTTGGAATTATTTTCTCAAGGAATGATTGCCCATTATTTACTGATTTTAAGTATAAAATAAGATTTTTAAATTGCAGAAAATAGACCTCTCTCATTTCACGGTAAATGTAAAAATTCAATCCTCATGAGTTCTTTAATTGTGCTTGACAAAATTCAATTAAATTTAGTTATGTCTGCCTGTGTTCTTTTTCGTCTTGTCAGTTCACGTATTATAAACTGTTATTTTTTTATTTATTTGGTTGTTTTTTTGTAGTTCAGCAATTTTAAATGTATATAAGCAGGCACTTGGAGTACACGAGGATGCTTCTTTTGTCTCATAGTGCTAGTGTACTATGGTGGTCAAATCATTGCTTATATTTGTTGGTTGGAAGGGGTCTATTCTTTGAATGCTTTTAATGCTGCAAGTGATCAAACGCATAATTCTTTGAATATTTTAATAAACTCTGAAAAGCCTTGATCTTCTGAAAATAATGTGTTTATTGGGTGAGTATTTTTGGAATTGTGTTGTTACTTTTCAAACTTAAATTTGCGCTCCATTTTTGATGAAGCAACTGTCTTCTTTTGGCTTCAATTTGAAACTTGTTTTTTACCTGGTTTAGGTTTCATTTGGGACAGCTTTCTTACTGCTTCTTAAAGCAACTTTTTAGTTCAAAATTTTTAATTTTTAAACTAAAATGCTACTTTAAGAAGGGGCAAGAAAGCCGCCCCAAACGAAACCTTGATAGTGATGAACCAAAATTGCTTCCTAGTTCAATAATTATTAGTTTCAGTTCTTCTCCATTGGTTTCTTGTTGCTACTCTTGTTACATTACCCTGTACATATTCGGTTTATCTGCTTTGCAGGCATGAATTTTTTTTCTCATATATTTTCCTTGTACAGGTTGTGTTCCAGAGCTTGAACATATGAAGAATACAGGGATCAGTTAGGAATGTTTGATGGCAGGAATAAAACAGGCGACCCATAATATCCCTATTTGTTCTATTGGTCTGAGATATCTGTTGGCAAATCATTGATGGGTTTGGTATTTGTTGGGCTGGGCCGAGTTGCTGCAATTTGTAGCTAGCCCTCCATCTGTTAGATTCCAGGTCTCAATTTACTGTTGAAGGATATGGTCTCTTATCTACCTTAGTGGCAGAGTTCAGATTGGCTTTTTGTTAAGTGAAATTTGTTGAAGTAAAGCTGCTGCTGAAGTATTTCAGTGGGGATAATCACTTATATCAGCTTCTACTGGATGGTCGACAAGTAGTATAAGGATAATATCAGCATAAAATTAAAGGACAGAAGTCCATGCCTGCCTTTGTGGGCGAGAAACCAATTAACTTTTAATTTGTGTGTTTAGGGTTTATATGTGGAGGCTCTATGATGCCTTAGAAGAAGTTATTTGAGTGCTTTCTTATCGTTTTGCACTTTCAGTCTGCTATTTTCCAGATTATTTGTTTGAAGTTTGTTATAAGTTGTACTGAAGACTCTCTGTCATCTTGCTATTAACTTGTTTGATGCATCTTTGCTGTTTGTTTAATGATGGTATGCTTAATGTTCCATTCTTGCATTATTAGAGCTAGCAATGAATCTCAAGAGCAGGATGATGGCTTACTTTGGTTGATAAAAGTGGTGCTTTATTTACATGTACTGAGCATGCTACTTAGGTTTCGTTTGGGACTGTTTTCTTACTGCTTTTTAAAGCAAATTTATAGTATAAAAATTTAATTTTTTAACTAAGAAGTTGCTTTAAGAAGCAGTAAGAAAGCTATCTCAAACAATGCCTTAGTTTGCTTTAAGTGCCGGCATTTGAATTTAGCAGGCTGTTTGATGCAATGCAACATTTTCATTGTGGGAAAGGGCGAATTATTACGTCCAGTCCGGCCCAGACATCAAATCAAGAAGCGTCATGTCACCCAAATAATCCGGTGTATTTTGGTGACATGACGTGTCTGGATTGGTGTCCAGACGAATTCGAACACCGGACGTAATAATTTACCATGGAAAAGATTGCAGATCTGGCTTTTCATAATCATGGCAGCCTTATTGGAGACATTTTTCATATTTTTTCTTTTTTGATACCCTGAGGTTCTATTAGGCTTCTTTTAAGTTTGCTTGTTGATTGGCCCTGCATATATCTATGTATCTTTCTATGCTTCTATAGTATATTAATGTGGGATTTATATTTCATCAAAATTGTATATATTTGTCTAATATTAATTTTTTTATATTTAAACACTATTTCAGTGTGTATATACTATATAGTATAAACGCATAAAAAAATGTGTTATATTTGTTTTAAAAAATAATGTTAATGAATTTTTTTTGTGTGATTTAGAATTTTTAAGTGTTATGTAAATAAATATAAATAAGTGCTAGGTAGATAAATGCATAAAACTCTTTATGAGATACATAAAGTCTTTGTTATTATTAATTAAGATGAATGGAAACTCGAATGCAGGAGATCAAAATATTAAATTTATAAATATTTGTGATATTTAATATTAGATTTTTATAAATCTATGCGACAATCAACTCAAGTGTCTTAGCTAGTTGGCGACAATGAGATTTCAAATTCTTAAAATGTTAAGCATGTCCATTGACTTCGTAGTTAAATTTTATTATTATTTTTCTTAATTTAGTTATTAAAATAATGTGCTTGATTACTGAAAAATGAAAATCTTGTTTATTAGAATTTTAATGTAAGCTCTGCCTAAAAAACCCGGCATCCAATCTTCTTCACTCTTTTGGAGGAACATAAAAATGAAGCTCGAAATGAAAGAAGATTAGAACATGCAGACCAGAGCCCTACAATGGGTACCCATATCCACACCCATCCATGCACCCATACCCACCCATTGGGTATGGGTACACCCATGGCCTTGTGGGTGGGTATAGGTGGGTACTTAACATCGGAGGATAAATTAATTTACATTGCTAATTATCGAATATCTTATATTACTGCAATCTTCACTATGTAATGTGCAACACTTAACCACACTGTGACTACGATAAATTTTGATGTGCAGCTTGAAAGTTTACAATCATAGCAAAAGGTAACAAGCCTCAAGGCCATCAATAAGTGGCAGACTGCATTCAAAAAGCATGAAAAGTGGGTGGGTATATGTGGGTACGGCATCCCGAAAGTCATCATGGGTGGGGGTGGGTGGGCGAAGCCCGTCCGAGTAAAGCATGGGTACCCAACCAGGACCCATGTAGGGCTTTGATGCAGACAAGGGCAATGATCCTTCAATCATCATTGAAGATTTCAAGTTTTCAACGATATCAGAAGCGTGAATTTTCAATTGAGAAAAAAAGAAGTATAGTTAAGAGATTTTTTGGAAATGAAGGCAACAGAGAGATCGTTAACAACAGATGAACATTTCAAAGTCACTTCCTCTATTTTTGAATTAGAGGGACTGTTATACCTAAAACTTATATCAAATATCTCAACAAAGCTGTGTGTTAGATTTCTATATCATAGTAACATTCGCTCAAAGAAGCTTCAATTGATCTCCTGAAAAAATACTTGCACTCCAAGGCATTATGGGGGTCTTGGTATCCCTTCAACTTCTCTTTTGATTTCTTACTGCAAAGCTAAATGTTTTTCTTTCTGGAATGGTAGTATTGTGAAAGGCTAAAAATGGTGAAATTATATTAGGAGTATGACTTATATTATATGAAAGCTGATTTAAATTTTTTGGTTAAGTTGAATTCCCAACTTTCTTTTTATAGGTACCTTTGGATTAATGGCAAATCCTTCACCAATTTAGTGGATGGTTATATGACACATTTTGATTGAAGTTTGATTATTGACTTTATTTATAATAGGACATGGCCCCTCCCTTCCTTTTTGCCTATGCACATTAAGAAGGCTATTTATGCTATTCCTTTGGATTGCTCATTCTTGTTGGGAAAAATCCATGAGAACAATAGGTTAATGAGACAAAGGATCCATTATTAAGATTTGTCGACAAGCTTGGGAAAAAGACTCATTAAGTCCCATTACAAAGGGCATTGTTCACTTACTCCATCTAACTTTGAGAAAGCCTTTTTTTTTTTTTTTTTGGAACGGGATATCCACCCGTTACCACCCCTGAAAGAGTGTTTGGCGGCTTGACTAATTCTCGGCTGACCTAGAAGAGGCTCCCACCCCAGAAACCTGCTGGCCCGCACTTGACAGAGCCCCACTTAAAAGGTGCAGCCGCTCGAGGGTAATCGAGCACGGGTTAGGACGTTCTCAACCGTACTCGTCCAACAACCAAACTAAACAACGGTGTGTATTTTGAAAAAGCTTTTACTTGCCTCCCCTACGATAACACATCGTGGACACTGAATTTATTACCATACTTCATTATGATCCAAGAATTTGTGACGGTTTTATGATCCAACTTAATGGCTAGTAAGGCAATCGTCATTGATCGGCCCAACAGACAATTATATACTGTTAGAAGAAGATCCCTGAAGTATTAGAATGATAAAACTAGAATGTACTGAGGGGATCAACGGTAAGCTTTGGAGGCCACATCATATGCTCCAATCGTATAGCCTGGATAGAAACAAAGAACATATATAAAAGAGAAAAAATTATTCTGTGCAGACCTAAACGGCATCCAGAGTTCAATCAGAACGCACCACATCACTTTTTTGCTCAATACTGGTGCTTGATACTACTCAGTACCGGATGACGTGACACATTCTGATTAATCTCCGAACCGCCTGGTATCCGCACAGAATAATTTCTTGTAAGAGAGAGGGTTAACAATTTTGATAGGTAACAAACGTCTTGTAGCTCCAATATTACTGATATTAAAAAAAAAAAAAAACAACATATCTTCAAATATTCAACAGAATTACTATTATTATGCTTATATTTTATTAGTAAATTTTATTATCAGATTGATATTTTACAGATTTATAAGTTTTGAGAACTTGAAGAGTTAGCTTTCCAAACATTCACAGAATTTAATTACTACACAGCAGTTTTGGATACATCAACTTCTTTGTAGACAAAAAAGTGAATATTGGAAATTTGCAAGGCACTTTTTAGAACATTGGAAAAGCAGAGCCAGGCATAAAAATAAATTAAAAACAGAAACCAAAGGCGAATACTATCAATTACTACTGCCTCCAAAATACCCTTTTGCAATCGTTTGATTGTTCTTCCACGACGATTTCTACGTTTTTCTCGCTGTTTTTACTGATTATTGTTAGATTTGCTTGCAAACTCAAGTAGATCCGATAGGATTACTTGTGAACTCAAGTATTTCCTATCAACCTCACTTCCTGGTTTTCTTCTTTTGCTGGGTACTAGCTTTGTTTGATCCTGATCGCTTCTTTGATGACTCCTTCGCCTGTGCCTTTGCTCTTATATCAAGTGATTTCAGTTCATTTCTGTTTGCTTTAACAACCTTTGGCTGTGTTTTGTCAGCTGCCAATGGCTTCTTGCCTTTTTTTTTCTTTGGTTTTTCCTTTTCATTAGCTTCCTCACTGTTGTCACCTGAATCAAATATCTCAACAAAGCTATGTGTTAGATTTCTATATCATGGTAACATTCGCTCAAAGAAGCTTCAATTGATCTCCTGGAAAAATACTTGCACTCAAGGCATTATGGGGGTCTTGGTATCCCTTCAACTTCTCTTTTGATTTCTTACTGCAAAGCTAAATGTTTTTCTCGCTGGAATGGTAGTATTGTAAAAGGCTAAAAATGGTGAAATTATATTAGGAAAGCTGATTTAAATTTTTTGGTTAAGTTGAATTCCCAACTTCCTTTTTATAGGTACCTTTGGATTAATGGCAAATCCTTCACCAATTTAATGGATGGTTATGTTTTCATGACTCATTTTAATTGAAGTTTATTATTGACTTTATTTATAATGGGACATGGCCCCTCCCTTCCTTTTTGCCTATGCACATTAAGAAGGCTATTTATGCTATTCCTTTGGATTGCTCATTCTTGTTGGGAAAAAAACCATGAGAACAATAGGTTAATGAGACAAAGGATCCATTAATAAGATTTGTCGACAAACTTGGGAAAAAGACTCATTAAGTCCCATTAGAAAGGGCATTGTTCACGCTTACTCCATCTAATTTTAAGAAAGCTTTTTTTTTTTTTTTTGGAACGGGATATTCACCTGCTACCACCCCTGAAAGAGTGTTTGGCGGCTTGACTAATCCTTGGCTGACCTAGAAGAGGCGCCCACCTCAGAAATCTGCTGGCCCGCACTTAATTGAGCCCCACTTAAAAGGTTCTACTGCTCGAGAGGAATCGAGCAAGGATTAGGGGATTCCCAACCATACATGCCCACCAACCAAACTAAAGAACGGTGGGTATTTTGAGAAAGCTTTTACTTGCTTCCCCTGCGATAACACACCGTGGACACTGAATTTATTACCATACTTCACTTATGATCCAAGAATTTGTGACGGTTTGATAAGTACCTTCTTCTGATTTGAGTATAGATCCAACTATGAATTCCAACTTACTGGCTAATAAGGCAATCGTCATTGCTCGGCCAAGAGACAATTATATACTGTTGGATGAAGATCCCTGAGCTATTAGAATGGTAAAGCTAGAATGTACTGAGGGGATCAACGGTAAGCTTTGGCAGCCACATCATATGCTCCAATCATATGCTCCAATTGTATAGCCTGGATAGAAACAAAGAACAGATATAAAAGAGGAAAAATTATTCTGTGCAGACTCAGACGGCGTACGGAGTCCAACCAGAATGCATCACATCACTTTTTTGCTCGGTACCTATGCTCGATACTGCTAGATACCGGATGATGTGACGCATTCTGGTTGATCTCCGAACCGCCCGGTGTCCCATAGAATAATTTCTCGTAAGAGAGAGGGTTAACAATTTTAGTAGGTAACAAACGTCTTGTAGCTCCAATATTACTGATAAAAAAAAAACATATCTTCAAATATTCAACAGAATTACTATTTTTTATGTTTACATTTTATTAGTAAATTTTTAGCAGATTGATATTTTACAGATATTTATAAGTTTTGACAACTTAAAGAGTAAGCTTTCCAAACATTCACAGAATTTAATTACTGCACAGCAGTTTTGGATACATCAACTTCTTTGTGGACAAAAAAGTGAATATTGGAAATTTGCAAGGCACTTTTTAGAACATTGGAAAAGCAGAAGCCAGGCAAAAAAATAAAATAAAAACAGAAACCAAAGGCGAATACCATCAATTACTACTGCCTCCAAAATACCCTTTTGCTATTGTTTGATTGTTCTTCCACGATGATTTCTACGTTTTTCTCACTGTTTTTACTGATTATAGTTAGATTTGATTGCGAACTCGAGTAGATCCGGTAGGATTACTTGTGAACTCAAGTATTTCCTATCAACCTCACTTCCTGATTTTCTTCTTTTGCTGGGTACTAGCTTCGTTTGATCCTGATCTCTTCTTTGATGACTCCTTCGCCTGTGCCTTTGCTCTTATATCAAGTGATTTCAGTTCATTTCTGTTTGCTTTAACAACCTTTGGCTGTGTTTTGTCAGCCGCCAATGGCTTCTTGCCATTTTTTTTCTTTGGTTTTTCCTTTTCATTAGCTTCCTCACTGTTGTCACCTGAAGCATCTACCTTCTGTTGTCTATGGCTACCAACCTTCTTATTTTTACCTTTTTTAGGCTGTCTTTTAATTTCTTTCTCTTTCTCAATCTCTTCACCTTTACTACCTTCATCATCTTCTTCTTCATCAGGGTTTGCCTTTCTAGATTGGTTGGATTTGCCTTTCACTGATTTGACACCAATCAGCTTCTGTAATTCTGGTACGAAGGCTGTAGTCTAATGATTAAGAAGCAGAAAATATTAACATGAAACGTGGCAGATTATATATAATAAAACTAGATAAACTATTCTAAAAATCATCCAATTTTATTCTATTTTTTTAGTTTTTATTAATGTTTAAAGATAACAAGAAAATATATTTTGTTATGTTAATGACAATTTAATCATTTTTAATGAAAGATATTAAATATGTGATAGATCTTAATATCTTTGAAAGTCAAACAATAACATGGCCAATAAACCAATACAATTATTACCATGTTTTAACAGAACATATAACGTGACTTGTAAACTATAAGTGGAATGATAATTTTAGTACTTTAATGATCATATAATCCTTTGATTTATTAGAGGTGTTTAACATGATATGTCCTACCATCACATATTTGATATTTTTCATGAGAAATGATCAAACTATTGTTAAAATTGAAAATATAGTATTTTTTTATTATTTTCTAAATATTAATGGACAAACTAAAAAAAAGCAGAATAAGTTGAATGATTTTTAGAATAAGGAAAATGATTAAATTGACTTACTCTGCCACCAGCTGCAATGAACTCAATTCGTTTTCCTGTCACATAAAATGATAAAAATGTCAGAAGCAGATGTAAGGAGCAGATTTGATGGCTGGTTACTACATAATGCAGGGTGATAACTCAAATTTAAAGCATTAAAATCTGAAATAACTAACATCAATCTGTACAAGTGATGAGTTTTTGCCAAGATCCAAGGATCAAATCCCGACTACATCAAAGCTGTGCTTCAGTACTCAAACATTCTCCAAAATAATAATAAAAATATATGTATACCAATACCAAGATACAAGGGTTTAAAAACCAAACCGATTGGCTGGTCCAACATTGAATCCATTCCCCGGCCCATTTGGTCAAACATTTTACACTAGAACCGAGAAAAATCATGATGAACCAAAGTTGGACCATCAAGCTGATGAATTATTCCCAATTTAGTTGAACCATTCGGTTCATTTCATGATCAAATTTGTCTCATATGTTATCATGTTTATCATAAATTATCATGTTTCTATGATGAGGATATTAGTCAGAGATTTCGACATGTGTATCGTCGACGTAGTCATGGATCGACGGCTACAATTCATAGTCTATATTTTTTATGTATTTTCTGTTTTATGTTGCATTTGAGTTTTCCCATTTTAACCCTATGGGAAGTTGAGTCTATGTTGTAGACCGAGGGCACTTTAGTCTTTCTGTTTCTTTCATTTATGCATATTTATAGGAGGCCTCTTGCATTGTAATGGATGATGATTATTGAGTAAAATTTCAGCTTTTTCTTTGTCTCAAATTGTGAGCTCTTGAGTGGAGAGAACCCTAGGAGAGGAATATGCAATACCTGAAAGTCGTCGGTGGATTCCGGGCTCTCGGTTAGTCTTTTATTTATCTACTTCTTACCCCTCTTTCTCCTCCCTAGTCCCTACCGCCAATATTCCCCTTAGTTTTTCCCATACTCAAACCCCTCCCAAAACCCATCCCGTCGGCCTCCAATAGCTCCCCTAGCCGCCGGCCTCCTACCAAAACCGGCGGCCACCCACCATCCCACCGCCCCTTTCCCCCAAACCCAAACCCGCCAGCTCCCCTTTGGCTCTATTTTGAATTTCAAATTCAAAAGGGACTTCACTACCTTCCTAAAATAAGCTCAAGATATTTAGGAAAGTTTCCAATTTGGATTTCAGTCAAATTTTGAAATTCGAATACTTTCCAAAGGCTTGGACTTAAATTAGGAAACTTGCCTATTTAATAAAATCTGAACTATATTTCAGATTTGATCTAGATCCAATAATTAACCATTGGGACCCACCTAATTAAAACAAAATCTCCCTCTCCCCACTCTGTATGGCCGGCCCCCTTTAGCCTCTCCCCCTCTCAAAAACCACTGGCCCCCCCCTTGCCTTGTTGGACAAAATTTGAAATTCAAATTAATCTCTTCCCCCACCTTTGGAAATCTGAATTTAATTGCAGTTTCCCAAACCCTACCCCTTCCAGTTTCTACCAAACCCTAGCCACTCCCCTCCTCTTCCTCAAGCCGGCCCAACATCATCCTCCTCCACCCGCCACCTCTCCCTCTTCTCCCCATTTGTGCTCCCTTGTCTCTTCCGGCAAGCATGCATGGCGGATCCGGAAGTTGATCACGGGTTTATTCTCAATTCTCAAGGGGGGATTGACATCATCCGATCACCATTCTTTGATCCCGAATTTGGATCCGAAGACACTGTCAAGGAATACGTTGATTGTATCCTCCCCCACTTAGCGGACGTCATCGACGAACAAAGACCTTTTGAAGAGTGGAAGATCACCGGAAGACCACCCGTTCCTCCAACCTTGATTCCTTCCCCAGCGATTAGTACCCTCGGCATCTCATGTCTTCTAGTGGCGTCTCTAAGTTTGCTTGCAACATTCTTCCGCTAAGCCCAACACCCTCAAGAGTGTGAGTGAGGAGTCACAAGGTGAACGATCTAATTATTAAACTATGGATTTTGTTAACTTGTCATTTGCTTTACTCGTTTATTTGTTATTGTTATTTTGCAAAGTATCCTAGTAATTTCAATGGTAATCGATTGTCAGTACTTAGTCTTTTCATGGAATTTCTTAAGATGTAACTTGAAGAAGCATCCGTTTTTATTTAGCCAAGCAAAGTTCACATTTTACTAATTTCTTAAAGCATTTTTTTTTCATCTTCATTGTATCACATCATTCTATTTGTTACAACATGAAAAAAAAAAATAGCATTTAGCACTACAAAAACAAGGAACATCAAAATTCATATTGTAAATGAAGAGTTCTATACATCACATTTGAAAACACCTGACTTCATGCAAGAAATGTAAAAATCGAATGTTATTCAAATGGTGTAGCAGCCAAACCATCAACAAATGCCTCCCCAGATTTCTTTTCTCGGGAATGAAAAATCCAGTTACTAGGGTATTGACTACTATCTGCTCCAACTTCAACGGCTTTTTTAATTACCTGTAAAATAAATTTGCTTAAAGGTTAAAGGATTGAATAGCTTTGTTGGCTCACCATTTACTTTTCCAGGTTTCTTTCCCCACCGATAATGAAACAACCATTCAATAGGAAAAGAATTGCAGTCTGCGTCAACTTCAACAGCATACCGAATAACCTACATTTATTGCCCTTAATACTACTGTAATTTATCATGAATAAAGTGGCATACATTGAAGCAAAAAGAATCAGCTGGAACTTATCAGACAAAGAAATTAACACAACATCTACCTCTTCAATGCATCGATGCAAAGATTCGCAATCTTCCCTTGACAATCTTGAAGCAATTTGCAGGGGATGGATTCTTGCCTTGATTTTCAAAAACATGTATGTTAGTATGATTTCTACCAAAGTAAAGCGAACATAAGAACTGCATCAAAAACAATTATATTGCACGTGAATCGAGTCCTCACAAACATAAACTAACACAATATTACTGGTTCAAAACTAGATCAAAGAGCACACCAAGCTTTATAACACAGAAAAGCAAGGACAACACTAGATCATAACGAATAAAAAGATAGATTTAAGTATTTAACTATACGTTTCATAGCAGACTTACTCTTGCTAACAAAATGCGGTTGGAATTTTGTGTTTAATAAGAACAGCAAATTTGTTTAGAGTCATACAAATATTTATTATTTTGCTTTCTTGAGAAGCTATCATCTGCTGCTGTTGTCTATATGCATATTCGAAGGTGTGTTCTAGCATAAAATTATCGTAACTAAATAACAGGTTTTAAAGACCTGAAGGCATGGTCACATAAAGTCATGCCCACTCAATCCTAATTTTCTCACTCAGCTTGCTCGGCGACCTACCCGCTTGTCCAAATTCTTGAATAGCTCATCACGCTCACATGTGCTGACATGCCCTGCCCATGCTACTATGTCCCACTAAGAGCATATGCGCCCCATTGTCGCTGCTACAAACTACACTCTAGCATGTCCTTGCACCCTCACACACATACTCATCCGTACACGTATATGCTATCACTTGATTGGCTATGCACTCCTCCCCAACTGACAAATGTGAAATAGGAGAGGGCAGCATCCCTGGGCAGGAATGGCAAGAAGTTCGGTCCCCCTTGTGGGGCACATTAAACCTATCATTACATATGTGAGAAGAGGAATTAGGAAAGGGATTAATTAGGATATTTTTTATAATTAAAAAGGGCAGATTTGGGGGATGATTTGAAGGGGATTAATTAGGAGAATTATCCTAATTAAAAAAGACAGATTTTGGGGTTGATTTGAAGGGGATTAATTAGGAGAAGTTTACCAATTGAAGATGGCTGATTTGAGAGGGAATTGGGGGAGGGCTATTTTGGAATTTGTTGTTTTATTGTTTGATATAATTAGTCTAATTTATATTATGTTTGCATGCAGAATTTGATTTGAGAGTGATGTAGTTTTCTTTTTGTGAGGGATCTTAGCGGCGTCTAGGTTTGGAAGAGAAGGTCCTCCTCTCGAAAGAGGACCATTGTATCTTGCTTTGTTCGTATTTGATTTTCTATCAATAAAATTATAAAAATCTATTTTTTGTGCTGAATCTCTTGGAGTTTGTTGTTGTTTTTAATACCAATGCGCATCAAAATACTCTTTACTCCATATATTTTTTCACCTCGTTCAAGATCATTGTCAATCATTTCATCATCGTTATTCAACAAAACTGACCTGCTCTCCCTCCTTCAATCCATATTCCATCATAGTCACATCCCTAATGTTGCAACTAAGGCACTGTCACATTAAGGTCATGTCCACTCAATCTTAATTCTCTCATACTCAACTTGAATGGCGACCTACCCACCTTTCCATATTCTCGAATAGCTCATCGCGCTCACATGTGCTTACATGCCCTCACATGTGTTGACATGCCCTGCCCATGCTACTATGTCCCACTAAGCGCATATGCTCGTCATCATTGCTGCTACACACCGCACTCTAGCATGTCCTTGCACCCTCACACTCTTTGTACTCATCGGTGCATGTATATGCCATCATTTGATGGCTCCAAATACGCAGCCAAGAGTTGTGGCCATGCACTCCTCCCCCACTTACAGATGTTCTTTACTCCATATGTTTTTCCCCTCACTTAAGATCATTATCGATCGTTTCATCATCATTTGAATGAACTCACCAGTTCACCCTCTCTATGATCCCTATTCCAGCATAGTCACCTCCCTTTTGGCTAGACCTCTACCGTTGTCTATTATCGACAATTTCTCTTTGAGACATACAAATGTGGTCAATCACTAATTTTCATCAAACGTAGACTTGGTTGCCAAATACTCAATTGAGAATATTAATTGTCATCACACTGTTATAAGACTATCCTCAGATAGACTAAACCAAACTCACTAAATGTATTGTCAATAGCTTTCCAATGCATATGATTAAATGATCTACTCAGTTTGGCGCATTTGTAGAACCACCTATCACATATGACTGGGTAAAATTTTCTCAACTTAATTACATTTCTTCCAAAAATTCACTTTAGACTTCTTGGGTTATTGTCTTCAATTAATATTTAATATTTACAAGTGGATGTTGCTACTACTCATCTTTTGTGGCCAGAGTTTTGGTTGAAATTACCTTACTACTAGAAGAAGAGGTGTGGATTGGCTAAATGTTTTGTGGATAATGGGATAAGGTAGTCTTCGAGGCATCCTTCACATTGAATTTCTATAAATCTTTGGGCATAATTTCTCTAATTTTTACAAGGCTCATTTTGATATAAAGAAATGAAATATTCAGACACAAGAGGGCCACTCAAATGTTCAGAACCTCCATAATCCCACAATAGTCGTTGCTCCTTGGTCATCAATTCAAATTTGCACTCAAAATTCAGAACCAATTTGACTTTCCTCAAAATGAAAAGACGATTGTGCTTACCATTGCTGACAAGCAAGACAATGAAAATTGCTTAGTTCATTCTAGAAGTTCTCCCTCCTATTAATAAAGACATAGTTGTACATGATATTCTACCAACTAATGATTCTGATGGACATTGGGAATGATAACATTGTGGTGGATGAGAGATTTCAAATCTTATTAACAAGATGATATTCTACCAACTAATGGTGGATGAGACATAGTGAGTTTTTTTTCTCCTTCAACATTTTTCTGTATTGTGGGATCGTTCATCTTTTGCCTCCATAATGTTTATGTAATTAATCTTTTCTATTTTTCTATGTACTCTAACAAATCTTCATAATTATCTTTATTGGTTAAGCCTTAACTACATTACTTTGTGCAAATTATTTGTTCTTTTGCTTTCATGTAAGTCATGTAAGCATATGTTCATGCAAAACCAACATCTGATCTGTTTCTGCATGTGAATTAATGTTTTAACATAGAAAGTAGAGTTTTAGCTTAAGTTTAGCATTGTATGAATCACTAGTGTACATAGATTTACAACACCAGGTGTCATCATTAAATTGTTCAAACCCTAGAAACACAATCCAACAGTGTGATAACCCATCTCAGAATGGTAAATCCTCTAATGTTGGAGACAAGTTTAGTTTGTTTCGCCATTGCCAAATGAAATATATGATAAATAGAAGCAAGGTATTACTTGATTGACTGAATTTGATAAATATGTGTTGACTGTAACGGCAAAACCACCGACCGATTCCACGTCAGTGCACGACCAAAACCCACCGACCTACCCAAACGACGCATCGGCTCATTCACCGACATACTCACAAAATAAAACACTTCTTTTCATTCGGTTACAGAGATACACGCACAAAAAATCGCAAGGAAGAGAAAGGATTCGCGACTGACCTCTTGCACCGACGCCGACCCGCGAGCTCTCTGCCCTAGCCGACTTCGTCGTCGACCTCCTGCTCCGGCGTCGATCCCATCCTCCTGCTCCGACGCCGTCGGCCAAACTTCCGTCGTGATCTCGCCGCCAACGAAACCCCCGAGCCTCCTCCTGTGCGAGAGCCATAGCCGTGCCCTAGCCGACTCTGGCCGACGCCTTAGCCGCCTCCAACGTCGCCAGCAGACCCGACGTCCGCAGCCTCCGCCGACCGCCGTCTCCGCTCCCAAACCTCCCGTGCGTGACTTAGACCGATCGGGGACTTCTTCTTCACGATCCCTCTCTGTTCCTATAATAAGATATATATATTATATCATATGTATAATATATATATTATATATAATGATATATAATATATGTTATATTATAATATATCTCATACGATATATTATATTATATATGATATAATATATTTTATATATTATATAATATATATTATAATGTATTGTATAATAAAAAGAAAGAAGAAAAAAATAGAGAGATGTGAGGATTTTCAAACAGGTGTCGAAGACCTCGGCCGTCGTACCTTAGGTCCGACCGGGATGATTTTAAAATTTGAAGACCCCGGGCCGTCGCATCTTAGATCCGGCCGGGATGGTTCCAAATTGAAGACCTCACGCAGTCGATCTTAGATCCTGGTGAGATG